TTTTAGTTGTTACTACAGGGTGGCACCAACCTCTTTCGAGCACACACATTCCCCAGGCCAATGGATCACACAGCAGGTCTTCAGTGGCTGAACCCCACACACTGTCTCCCCCTTCCAGAGTATATACTCTAGTTATTTTCACAGCAACGGTATGAGGCTATAGCTTTCAGGCTTCTTCACAGAGGCACTGCCTTCTTCCACACCCCAGCCAGGGCCCATCTCAGTACCCCCAGTTGGTGTACTTTCTGCAGCCCTTCTTGGGCTCAATTTGTGTTCATACCAGCAAGGTCCATCTCGGCAACCTCATCTGGTCTGGCCAGGTTCTGTGTTTAATCCCTGAGGCTCAGTCTGTCCATACGGGCCTTTTTCATGACCCTATTGCTTTTTCCATCAGCCAGACACCAGGTTTTCAGAAACCTTCCCTAGGCTTGGTTCCATGGTCCTGTTGTACATCTAACCAGCCCAGCACCCAGTTCTCCCTCATCAAGCTACACATAGCAACAGAAGGCTCTCTTCTTCTGCTTGCCTTTTATCTAGCCCTTCTGGCCCTTTATTGGTCACCCCAGAAGCCCCTCTGATTGGCTGCTCCTCTGCAGCCACTCTAGGTTGCTAGGAGACTTCTTGATGCTCTATTCTGGGGCAAAGTGACACAGGGCCATGATATCTTCAGCAGAGAGTCTCCAGACCTAGTTCACCCTGCCATTTTGGGGTTAAAATGCAATGTAGACCCTCAAGCCGAGGGTTCCTTGATACAGGTCAAATGCCTCAAGTCCCACTAACCATAGGCTTACGTAGCTTGCAGAGATTTTTTTTGGAAACTACTTGCTAGAAACATAGACTTGGATTTCTGAGCAAGGCAGCATCTTTCTGTTGTTTAGTTCAGGAGTGTTCAGTGTACGTTGTTTGTAAATAAACAGGACTGAACAAAAAATATGTAACTTATATCATTAATTTCACCTGCTCACAGAAACAATACAGCAAGGCTACAAAAACTGGGTAACCCTCAGGCCAAAAAGGATTAAGAATATCAAACACATGCAACAACAGCCAGCTAGGGAATTTCCTCTTGTGGCTTGTTGCTATAATGGTGCATAGTATATGCCTCATCGAGAACACACTAATTTGCTATTCTCATCGATCTTGGGACTAAATTTTCTCTAATAATTGTCCAAACAAAAAGGCATTCACAAACCAGCCATTTTTATCTGCAAATCCTTTAAAACAGCATATCCAACTAACCCATTTGTACATGCAAATGAGTGCAAATGCACATTCTACTTCTACAATTTAGAGACCATTTTTGGAAGATGCCAGTCCTGTGACTAAGATCTGCTGTTTGGATTGCACACAACAGTATACATTTCTCATTAATGTTTGTGGCTGCCTCTTAGCTAAGAAAGCATCATCTTCATAAGCAATTTAAAAAGTGAGAGCTAACACAGTCTCGAATGCACCTGCCAACTAATTTGGGAATAAGACAAGATTTTTAATATGTGAAAAACATCAACTGCTCAATGTAGTTATAAATATGGATCAGAAATCCTTTTCCTTTTAAGATTTTAGCTTCAAACAAGAAATTGAATACCAAGCCCTTTGCTTAGAATAGGGAGGTAATAAAAATAACCACTATCCTGCAACAAACATTCGCTGTACAACTGAAGGGCTAGACTCTCATGTATAGCAAGGCTCCTTTTAATCTTTCTGGAAGTATAAAATAGTCTTAAAATGGTTATGAATTATATTTGTACCCATGTTAGGACCCATGTACAATGCACAAGCAGTGTAAAGGGGAACTGGTGTAAATTAGAATCTGTTCTGTAATATTCCTGTGGTGCACAAGTGGTGTTGATTTAAAAGTGGCTGAGGAATGGCAGTACTTGATTGGCTGATGGTGAGATGATGCTTTCCCTTCTAACATTGGGGCAGTGCCAAACAGCTTTGCAAAGACAAGTATGACCATGAAGGAGAAGGTCAGTCTGTGCAAATGGTCCAAGAAACAAAGAAGAGTTGCAGATGCACCCAGTACCCTCTGGCTGACATCTTCACTGTGTCCTAGAAAGCTATTTGGCTTTTAAACCAAGCCAGGAACAATTAATGTCACTTTCAGGAGTGATGAAATGGAGGAAAATGTTGCTGACCAAGCAAGAATATAGACCAGAGGGGTTTTAGCTAGCTAAATCCAGGTTTTTTATCAGTGTGGCATTACTTTGGCAAGGGGAGAACTTTAAGCTGAATAATTAAACAATGACATTTTTTATTTAAAAAGAAGACAGAAAGTAAAGAAAATTAAGGGCTGGCTATTCTCCCTCCTACCCTTACTCACATCAGTGCTCACACAAACAGTCCTACTGAAGCCAGAGGCCTCTCTTCTCTCTTATTCCCTCAGAGGCCTTGGCAATCCATGTCTGATCCTGCTGTGCATTGGGTCTTCCTGTCAATACTTAGTGAGGTGAGTAACTGTTTGTCAATAGAGAAGGGGTTCATAATATGTCCTTAAACAATTTGCAAACCAGTTCTAGCATTTAATAATTCTATTTTTCACTGGACCATTGTTTTTATATATATACTAGCCAATTAGCCCATCATAAGATGGAATTTTCAGGTCTCTCCTCCACGTCAGGTCTTCTCTCCTGAGTCTCTGGTGTGTCTGTCTCTCTCTCTCTCCTCCTCCTCCTCCTGCCTCCCCCCTCCTCAGCTCTCCTCTTCCTCCTAACGGGATTTTTCGGGACTCTCCTCAAGCTGCTGTTTGGGCTCCATGCTCCTCATGCAGCACGGGGAGTGCGGAGCATAAACGGCCGCTTGCTCCCCCGCAGCGGCACGGCAAAGCGGCGTAGAACTCAGCCGAGCGCCGTGGTGGGAGGCGAGGGGGGAGCGGGGCGGTGACATACATGGCTGGGCCCCGCCCCCCTGGGTATGTACATCACCGCCCTGCCCCCTTTCCCCTCCCGCCGTGGTGCTCAGCTGACTTCTGCACCACTCAGCTGGGCCACTGGGAACAGCCAGTATTTCAGCAACAGCACTGCCCAGAGGGAACAGCCAGCATTTCAGCATTACATATTCTCAGACATTGGGCTACTATATATATGATATATATACGCACTGTGGATTGGAGCCTAAGCAGAAGCACTGCTCCCACACAGAAACAATGAGAAGAAAAATCCATATGCTAAGAACTTTCCATCACTGAGTTCTGCTTAGATCTAGATATTCTCACACACTGACAACGTGTGCCTCAGTCATATCTGCTTTTGGTGTGAAAAAATAAGCCATATTTGGGAAATTACCCCCATTTTTCTTTTACCCCTCGTTCTGATGCCTTATACGCACAAGGCCTGTCCTGCCCTCTCAAAAAGGCTACCCATGTCTCCCTCTTGGCTCCCCCTCCTGCTATATGACACTTAGATTGTATGATGAGATGCACCTTTTAAATACTTAAAGATCAATATTACTCCTGAGCCACCTGGAGGGGGCCCTGACAAAGTGATGTGTGATCTTTCCTCCTGCTCCCGGTAACATTGCAGCCTCTGTTGAGCTGGAGAATAAAGGAATGGGCTCAACATCTGAAGTCCCTAAGCAACAGACGATTGGGGCTGGCCATAGACACATTTTCAGAACAATATATATGTGCGCTTTCTTCCCTAAGTGGATAATTAATCAAAATAAATACCTGCAGTCGGGAGCCTCCCCTGCCGTGCTCGCTTGGATTTGTTCAGAGAAAGCATTCCAAGACATCTTAATTTGTTGCTATGTGAATGGCTGCAACTTCACCCTGAAGTCTACAGCCTCTCAGCTGGAGCTGTGTGAAACCATCGATCGCTCTGTTAAGAGTATTTGGCATTTAAAGTGCAATTGTTCTCTCTCTTCCCTCCCTGCCCCAGCCCAATTTTACCTGCATTCAGAGATGGGGGGGGGGGGGGATTTTATTTCTTTACACAATGTGTACAGCGAGTTACAAGTGGAGCAGAATTCCTGAGGAGAACATCCCCTTGCACACTAACACCAAACTTGGGGGGGGGCAAAGATTTCACAAAAGAAATGAGGGGCCCTCTGTCATACCGTGGTCCAAGGGAGTGATGCTCCGGTTTGGACTAGCCTATAGGGATACAGGATACCTCCAGGAATAGACAAGGTTCTCACACTTGCTTTATGCTCTGGGT